AATAAAGTTAAAATTAATTTAGTTTGTTTATTAATAAATAAAAATAAAATCTATTGGTTCCATTGGTTCCAGTGTTCTGGTTCCAGCAATTTTCCCAACACTGGTTTAATGCACTTATGTGTAAATTTTGAATTGAAATTTTTGTTCTCTTTGCTGAGACAAGGATTATCATTATTACAATAATTAAAATTATTACATAAATACAAAAAACTTACTTTTATTTCATTAGCTTTTGAAAATTCAATTAGATTAGCTTTCCCAGATATTTCATAAATTGCACCTTCTACTAACTCATTAACAAATGAAGGTATTGATGAGTTTCTATTATAAAATTGGATATTAAAAGTGCCATTTTTGTTATTATTATTTTTTTCCACCCTTGAAACAGCATTAGCCTTGATAATTGTGAAATTGTTTGTTTCTTTAGTATTAATGATTGAATCTATCACACAAATAGTAGTCAATTTAAATGGCATTTTTAAAAAAGAAGATTTTAAGGGTAGAGTGTAGTCATGTGATTTTATATAATGATCGGTGAGGATAAATAATTCCCGAACCACTTTTAAATCACTTGACACGTACATAGCTACACTAAAAAATAGTTTTCATGACACAAAAATTATCACGAAATCCATTTTCAGCATGTATCCAATCATATAGTAATAAAAAAAAATTTTTGTTGTTAGAAGGTTATTTCAAAAAAAGCTTGTAAAGTTAAAGACAATTTGCGGATACCTTAGTAAAACATAACAATAGTAAATTTTCTATTTAATAAAAATAAAATTATATTTATATTACAAATAAATACATTTTTTTTTAACATTATAATAAAAACAATATTTATATATATATAAAAGAAGAAAAGGTTGCCGTGTTATGGTTCCTTCCTAGATTTTTTTCCTAATCTAACGATTTTACCCAAATTTGAAATGTTTAATTGCACAGGAAATATTCAAAGACTTGAAACGGAAAATTCAGTGCAGTTACAGTAATAGCGAATCACAAATCTTCTAAAAATTTTGTTGCTCAACTTTATTAAACTGGATTGTTGGGGAAGGGTAAGATCAAAATCAAAGGGTAATGAGTCATTTTTTAATTTTTTTTTTTTTTGCTACGTTGGCTTGTATATATATTAATTGAAAAATATTTTTGTTTCTGAAAATGATAAATGGTTGCAATTACTTTTACATTGCCACATCTGCAAATTCCCATTGCTATTTATTTGGCAACTGAAAAATTTTTTTATTTTTGTTCAAAACTTCAGGGTTGAGCTAAGCAGATACTTGACCGAAAGGAAATCGTGTTTCGCTTTAGATGTTTTTTCACTGTCTACCTTTAAGTTTTCGTCTTGCCCTGATGGTTCAAAATGACCAAAAACTTATGGCATTTCCTTGGAACCTTTACATCAGATCCCAGATCACCAAAGACTTGTCATCAACATGTTGGTATATTTTCAAGACCAAGATTCAAAAACACTTTTTTACATTTTATTGTTATTATTATTATATATTATTATTATTATTATTATTATTGGTCAATTAATTGAATAAATAAAAATTTTTTTATTTACATTGTGTAACAAACTTACTTTTTAAAAAAATGTTTGAAATAAATAGTTTGCCATTTGAACTTCTGACTGAAATATTCAAATATATTGAAAATGATCATCAAGCATTGTATTCTTGTATTCTTGTCAACAAACAATGGCACAATATAAATATTCCAACTTTATGGAAGGATCCATTTGTTTGTGATGACAGCATCAAAATATTAATTAATTGCATATTAGAAGAAGATGAGGATTTCTTAATTAGAAATTGCATTGAATTAACTTTTGAACTATTGGAGAAGCCACCACCATTATACAATTATGCCAGATTTTGTACTATATTTGATTATTATTATGACCTTCAATACCTGATAAAAAATAATGCATTAAACCTTGCACAAGTTTTACGAAATAAATTAGGAAATTTTATTTTAGATCATTCAGCAGGTATTAGAAGGCTTACTATTGTTGATTATTTAGGTTGTTATATATATATTAGTTTATTAATTAATCATCATAGATTTGATGATTGTTTTCAGAATCTTTATGAAATAGTTTGTGATGGTAGTGATGATGGTGGTGAATTTTTTAATAAATTAGCAAATATTTGTAAAAATATTCAATCATTAGCATTATATTGTAAAGGTGATGACAAAAACATATATAATATAGCACAGCTAATTAAAGCACAAGATCAAATTAAACATTTAATTATTAAATCAGAAATTTCATCAGATGAATTAAAAAAAGCAATATTAACACATTCACAATCAATAATTTTTTATGAATCTTATGGCAATGAAAATAATTTTAATAATTTATTATTACCAACCCTCAAAAATTTAAAAACTTTAGAGTTAACAATTAATTTTAATAGCAAAATGATAAATTGGAAAAATATTTTATTGCCAAATATTGAATCTGTGAAATTATATTTTAATTCTCAACCATATATATCAAACTTTTCTGATTTTATCAATATCAATGGAAAAAATCTTAAAAATCTAAATGTTGGTGGTTATACTGGTGGATTCTTGAGAGAGCTATTTCAATCAATTGCACAATATTGTAAAAATTTAGAAGATTTATCTATAGCATATAAGGATGAACTAGACCAGGAATTAATGGAAATACTTAATAATTGTATTAAATTAAAAAGTATTAGACTTGATAAATTTCCTGGAAATATATTATTAGATTGCGATAAAATATTGGCAGCATTAAATGAAACATTACCAAGAAATTTAAAGTTAATAACTTTTACTTGTATTGTTTATAATATTAGTAACCATTCTTTGGACATTCTAATGAAGAATTGGAGAGGACCCAAGCCTTTAACAATAGGATTTGATAAATATAATAAATCTGAGATTTTGCTAAAAAGTGATGGAAGAAAAATATTAGAAAAATATCAAGATTTAGGGTTTTTAATAATTAATAATATTTAAAATCATTTTATTATTATAGGAGTTATCAGTGGAGAAGATTTCAATCTTACATAATTTCATTATTATTTATGTATTTGTTATTCTTTATTATAACATAATATATTTTATTATTTCATGCTATATACAAATTACATCTGATGATCATTTATGATTTGCTGATATTGATGGTAAAAAAGAGTTGGCCAACATTAGCATTAATTTAATATTAAAAATGATTAGTGGCAGGAAGTGGACTTTGTCAAATGTAAATTACAATCTTGATGGTTATTTTCTTATAAAAAGAGTTGGAGCTCCTTTGATTCTGAATATAATATCTAATCATAAAGCTCATTGTCAAATTCTTGTTGCATTTGAGGTGAGGACTCAAAATCTTTTTATATTGATCACGTGTAAGTGTTTTATACAACCATGGCTCTTGATTACGTTGTATTTTAATCTTTGATCCTATATTAAATGCAACAAAACTTGTTTTCTTTGCGGAAAATTAAATAACGTGTAACAAACCAATGATTTCCTCGTATTCATTTGAAAAATCGAAATTAAAGAACAACTCCAACATAAAAAAAATTCATCATTATTCAAACTTTAGTGATTGATTCATCTATATTCAACAACAAAAGGGTTTTGGCATTCTTTCTTTTTTCTTTTGTTTTCTATTTTGACACTTTTAAAATTTCAAGTTAAAACTTATAAAACCTGACTCATGCACTATGTAAAAGTTGATACATGTGCCAATGTTGACCTGTCTACGTGTGCTTAAAACTCGAGCAATCAAACTCGTTTTATTTTATTGTTAATATTACTGTGTATTTACTATTACGCGTAGTTAAACATTTAACACAACTAATCCCTACATATTAATGTTGACATGCCAACATGTCTTTCAAACTCAGACACTAAAGACAATGCGAACACGATTTGATCTTTTTCATTTATGAAATGCAATAATAATTAAATAAATGCCAGTAACAGTTATTATAATTGTATTGTAATAGTTTTAATTTGTAGAATGAAAATATACGGAAAAAATTTTTTGGTCCATATAAATTAATTATTGGCACTATAAAAAAAAAAACAATAAATTGAACATTTTCGATGACTCCGATACGCTTCACGATTTTACGTTGGTTCCGTTGTTTTTTTAATGTCTTACAAAACAAAGTGTTGTATATAGGAATGCTTAATATTTAATATTTAATATTTAATATCAAGTATTTAACAATAAACATTAATGTTTAATATTAGTCAAATTTAAAACATAATTTTGGAAAGCATGAGATCAAAAAAAACAAAATGAATGTCATGATGTCACATTTACGTGTTTACACCTCTCTTCTATTTTTTAAAAAAAATGTCTTCGTTAACACAGGATAAACAACGAAAATTTCGTTTACACAGTTGTTGGAAGCAAGCATAGAATTCGCGTGAAAATTGTATATATTTTTTGTTTTGCGATTGCACGTCATGATATGTTATTATTATTATTGTTTTCTGGGTTTAATGAATAATAAATTCAACCATTAAAAATTTAATCCAATAAAATATATTTCATACTACAACTGTGGTGGTGATTATTATTAATCTTCGATTCGTCATTCTAATTTAGAAAGAAAAGAGGAAAGGAAATTTATTCTAATTTGAATGTTTTATATTTGGCATGTAGTTATATTAAAAACTTTGACTTCATGTACTTGCTTAGAGAAACGAATGAAAATAGTGATGATTCATCAGAATTATCAGACAAACAAGAATCGATTTTTGACGCGATTGTTCGTCGAAAACAAATCACCTCTTTCACTGGAGCTGGAAGCGATTATTGCTATAAGATATTTTTTATAAAACATGATGGTATTTATTATTATTCTATTAGAGACCGGCAAAAAAATTTTATCAACAAGAGTAATTTCAGCTTTTAAAAACATTTGTGATGATGAAAAAGTAGCTGTGATGGTTACAACTGTATGGCATGAGATCACATTACATTCTTTTGCCGGTGTGGGGTTGAAGTCTGATCCGGTGGAAAAGCTCATTAAAAGGAAATAAATTATTCAAAGAATATAATTTCGTTAAATAAAAATCCATCAAAGCACCGATAGTTGACGAGAGCAAATTTTTATGTTTATTTATTTATTTTATTGGCACATATAATAGATTTCATAAATAGTTCCAATGTAATTATTAGATAGATTAGAAACAATATCAAGAGCTGTTCATAATCCACTTGGTAATCTCTTGGTGTGAAATATTTTTTTAAAAAAATTTAATTTAACAATTCTTAACAATATATATATTTAAGCCATCTAACATCAGCCTTTACTTTCAGGAGATTTTTGCAACTACCACCTGTCCCTTCCAACGATGGTAATACCAAATTTTGCTTCGAAGCAACATCTTGAAACCGATGTATAAATGTAAAATTAATTACACAATTATCAATCGTGTTTGACAAAGAAAATATTGTAAATATTTATCGGCAATAAATTAATCTACATTCATTCGTATGTGCATTTAATAAATGATCCAATTGAATTTCTTTCTACTATCTTTATAGAAATATTAAACGAAATTAGTTTTGTATCTCGGAAGACATTGGATATTACAAGTAAATTGATAAATCCACCAAAATATCCTGAAGATGTATTATATTATATACATTGATGGAAATTATTAGTGTTGTTTCTACCGTGGTAAAAACAAATCATGGGGAATTACTATGATAATTATCGTATACATTATGAAAGTATGCATTTTTATTATAGCTTATTAAAAATACAAGTCCACGAAAAAGAGATATAAATATAGTTGTACAATAATAAATACACAAAATTGTTTGTTTGTATTAAAAACAAGACAATTACTAGAAACACAAATATTGTTAACTTTTTAAAATTTTTAACCTGTCATGATTTAAATGTTTTAAAGATATTCTTACTTTATTATTTTCAGTGTCTGTAATGATTTTATATTAAATTTCGAGTTGGCTCGAGCTCGATTAGAATTCAGCTCGACTTGGATCGTTAGGAGCTTTTTGATTACCAGTTGAATTTACAGCAAGAAGAACTGTTATACGAGACTTGTCCTTAAAATCAGAAACTAAATCCGAAACTAAAAATATGCCACATGTGCCAGTTTTTTCCTTTCCATTCTACGTTTTGAAAGTGTCTGATTTGGTGTCATTCGAAAAAAAAGTACTGTCTCATCCGCATTAGATCAAAATATTTCTTGTAAATTGATTCTTTCTTATGAAAGTGATTTGATGGGGCTTCGTGCTACGAATTCTGTAAGAGATTAATTGATTCTTTTCTTGAACTTTTGGGTCCATCCATTTGAAAAATGGAAATCGCCTTCATTCATAAAAGATTTGCATATTCCTGTAATAAGCTGTTCACTTGTTAAATAGTTCAAATGATTGAAAATAACATAAGCAAGGTAAAGTGACTTTTTTATTTATTCGCAAGAGACCAAAACAAACTAACATTACAACTAAAATTATCATCCGAGAAGAATGATTTGATACACTAAATCATATCCACAACTCCCTTTATTAAATGTCAAAATCTATTTTGAACACCCAAGAAATCCAATCTGATAGGATCGTGAAAATATTTTGAGGAATTTGAAGGGGAAGAAGCAAATCATGGTGTTAACAATCAAATTGAGTACCGATGACACACATACCTTACTGAATATTCGTCCAGTTCCAATTTTCATCATGGGTACCAAATTCAAACTAAGAATCAATTATATACATTAAAGTTTTAGAAAGAAAATTGTGTTGCATTACCACATTTCTAGGTAGAATGGTTCCGTTTGCCAACCCACCTAGGCACAAAAATGCTGTAAATGTCAAAGGTTCAAATAATTAATTAGAATGATATAAATAACAAAATATAACTTTACCATCATGTGCAAAGAAACTAGACGTCAGAAATCGGATCATTTTTGACAACAATTAAATCATGTACACGATTGTAGCGTAGCCAGTAATTCTGGACCCTTTTCCATGACATACTCTTCTGACTCGGAATGCACGACCCCAACAGCAAAATTTGGCTTGTTCTAAAAATCAAAAAAGTAAAATTCCAGTTTTGAATTCAAACTCAGAAGATAATTTCCATTAATCCCATTTAGTCCAAGTTTTCGAGGGAGAAACAATTCATCAGC